TTTTTTTTTTTTTTTTTTTTTTTTTTTTTTTTTTTTTTAACATTACTGTGTGGGTTTGTTTGCTTGTTTAAGTGCATGCTCATCTGTCAGTTCTGGCATCGGGTTCTGCATATTTGCTAATATTTCTGGCCAGTAGGAAGGAGACTGTCAGTAATGTTGTTCATAAATAAAATTGATCAGCATGAATATTTCCAAATTCTAAAATTTCAAAATTGATGTCAATGACAGAATATCAATTAATACTTGACAGGCTGTTATAATGGACTATTTTTTTCCTTCTTGTAACCACTGCAAGGCTGGTATTTAAGTGAAAATACCATTTCTATCTCAGTATGGTCTCGCTAAGAACAGGATGAGTGCTCATCATATGTCTGCATTTCCCAAGTCAGTATTTTGCATAGCTCTTCCAGGCTTTGTGAACAAGTGGATAATTAAATTATTTTAGCAGCTGGAGAAATTTGCTACAGTGTGCTTGGTTATTACCAGCTCAGCTGCCAAAAGCCCTACCTGAAGAGTGTTGGTGTAGATTGCCAAAGACTCTAGATTATAATCCCAATATAAGCAAGGGAATAGTTAAGCCAAAAAAGTATATTATGCTTCCTAAAAGCATAGTAAACATCACAGTCTCTAAGATAACAGTTGCCAAGATTTAAAATGCTATCTTTGACAAAAAGGCCACCTTCTTCCACCCTGCTTGCCTGCCTTGGTAGTATCCAATGAGCACGTGTCATGTAGGATTTCATGACAGTGATGTGCTCAGTTTTATGTGGCACAGATCTGTGAAGGCCCCCCAGCCCAGCCTTGTCCCTTGCCTGGTGGCTCCGTTTTGCCCATTTCACTGTATGAGCACTTGCATTTGTGTGGCCACCCAACGGCTGGGAGCCAGGATGGGGGACGGCTCCAGGTGATCACTAGGTACAGTGTGGCTTTCAGCTGTGCTGATCCCAGATCCAGGCTGCTGCACGCCCAGCGTGTTCCACCAGAGCACTGGCAAAAACGAAGGGACAGGTAAGCCACAAACACTCTTGCAAGTGTTTGTGCTGGGTTAATCTGATTGTGACTCTGCTTCATAGGCTTTTAGAGCGTTTTTTCTTCATTCTCATGCTTTTTTTGCAATCCTGATGGTTGTGTGCTCCCACTTCATACTAGTCAATGCACTGGCTTAGTGAGTTTTAGTTGTTTACTCTGACCATCTTATAGCACATGACTAGTCATAAAAAGACATTCAGGATTTTGAGTGTTAATAAAAGGCAAAAGCAAGCCAGGAGGCATGAAAACCACACTTGCATTCTATATCCAAGGACAGAGTCAAAAATGTTTAATAAATTTTGTACCCCTCTCCTATTCCTATTGAAAATGGTACTTTTCTACTCAACAGGACTCTTGCCAAGGTATTTTTAGAGCTTGGAGTGTTAAAAGCTTTTTTTATTATTAATATTATTTTTTTTTCCCATGTCTTTGCTCATTAGTTCTGAAGAGCTGGCAAAACTGAGCAAGAGCTGCTCTCCACTTTTTTGTATCTCATTGCCTATCTTGTAGGTGCTCATACCTGTATGGTTGCACTGCAGGTAATTAGGGTTATTCCTAGAGTTGTCAAGTAGGTGCTTTGTACTTCAGATTCTATATTTTTAGAAGCAGTCACAGTTCTGTATATGCTGTGCCTTGATTTTTGAGCCACAGAACAGTTTGCATGCTTGGCAGTCAAGGAGATATTTTTCAGTTGAACACATCTGAAATGGCAGTCACTAAGAAGCAATGCATATAAAGGCTTATTTTGTCATTTCAGAGTAATATTGACCTTTAAAAAGATATACTGCAAGTCATAATATGTGAAGTTCTTGTGCTCTGGCTTTAAAGAGTAAATTTTATTTTTTTAATTCAAAAAGTAAAAATGAAAAATAATTATATTTTTAAAGAGCAATTCTCTATGTTACTGCCATTAATTTGTAAAATTTGCCTCAAAAATGAGCCTGTGGATTTCAAGAATGTGATTAATATAGGCTTTGCTGCTATAGTGCAAAACTGTCTAGAATCTAGTAAAAGGTTGGAAAGTCATTGTTAGTGTTATAAAAGCTCGTATTAACACTAAGACTCTCTGAATTGCCAAGCATTTCATTCATGAATCTGTTAGTGCTTTGAAAAAAGCTCTCAGCCTTGGGACGTTTCAGCTCCTCTTGAATGTGAAGTTGACCATTAGTATGTGGGACCAGGGGTTTCTGTGGCATGTGCCGCTTCTCTTAGAACTACTGCACGTTTGGGCTCCTTCACACGGGTCCCTCTCCTCCCACTGGGCAGCTTTGCCTTTCAGTTCAGGCCTTTCCTGCCTTCCTGCAGGATTTCCAGCTGCTCCATAACACGTTGATGAAGCAGCAGGTTGTTGGGATCCAGGCATTCCGGCAGCGCCCTGCTCCACGGGACCGCGCGCCGAGCTCTGCGTGGGCAGCGCTGGGGCCTTGCAGCGCGCGGGCCCCGTGCGTGGGTTCCTGGAGCAGGTTTGCTAGGAAGGGATCATCGCCGGTCACCTGGGCAGACCCACTCAAAGCAGGGCCGGAGGTGACACCGGCCTCACGCGTGCGGGGCGCCTGGGCACCGCTTCTGTGGTGCAGCCGGCCCCTGTGCCGAGTCGGGCTCGTTCACACGCACGTGTATCGTGCCTTGCACGCAGGGCCGGTGCCGGCAGCGCCCCGCACCGCTGAGGTATCCCCCTTTAGCACTGCACTTCGGCAGCCATCGCTCAGCTTAGTTTTGCTGGCGTGATGGAGAAAAACATGGGTTGGGGAACTGCGAGGTGCCTGCGCTCTGTGGGCCGCAACGCGCGGCCTCGAGCAGCGCTCCCGGCTTGCGGCGCGGTGTGCGTGGTGCTCCCCTCACCCCCTGCGCAGCAGGAACTAGTGCTTTTCCTTCCTGTGAAAGGAAAACCTACCGTGTTCATAACCACCAGATGTTTCCCTAAGTGCTTCGTGATGGTTTTTGATTATAGATTGGTTGTCACTTCAGTAGTTGCCATTCTAGAGAAAGATAGAGAAGTGAAAACTAAGAGTCCCCAAACTGCAAGTGTGCTCACCCTGAGAAGGTGCAGCAGGTCTGTGCTCTTAGAGATAAATGCTGTCATAGAATTAAAAAGAAAACGTTATTCAAGTTATCAGATGGATACTTGGTGGCATCTTAGCTTTCATTTTATCCTAGTGCTCAAATATTTCCCAAGAACTTGCTTGCACTGTAGAAGTACCTCATTTCTCATCTACAAGCTTGGAACATTTCTAGCTCTTGCAAGAATTCAATTTTAACCCCTTAAAACTTTTTAATATGTGTTATCCCTGAGAATGAATCTGAAATTAAAATTCTTTTTTTTTTTTTTTCCATTTTTTTGGTAATGTCATCTGTTATCAAAACCATGTTGGGTTTAATAAATGCTGTGGATACCTTGATATCAGTTCCTCTGACTGTGTTGATTGGGATACTGAGAGTATAAGCAATTCCTTCTTCTGATTTAGCTCTGTTCCTTCTTGTGTATTCTGAAATTCTGATGTAGGGGTTGACAGCTGGATTTCACACATGATTATTTAGAGCTCTCTTTGAAAGGCTGGTTTCACCACGGCTGTTTCTCAGGAGTGAGGCTCAGCGCTGCAGCGTGATGGACAAGGCTTACATCTCCTATATGTTTTTTGCCTATGCAGACTGTGTCAGTATTTGTTTCCTAAACTTGCCTTTGCCTGTGGACTTGTCTTTTGAGTGGACTCTGTGTTGACGTTACCCAGCTCCTGCATTTTAATGGAATCTGGTGTTCAGAATGATGGGACTGCAGAAGATTCTTTAAAACGCTCGTCGAAAGAGATGATGAAGAAATGCTTACACATAAGGCAACTAACAAGTAACATGTATTAAATAAGATATATATGTAACTTTAAAAAAATTATTTTACAGAAGCTAGCAGTAATTTTAAGGTAATGTTTTTTGCTTGTTTCAGAGAACATTCATCCTGATAAGCTGTGTTTTTACTTTTCTTTTTTTCTTATTAGTAAATGTTTGAATGAGTGTGAAGAAAGCAAGACTCAAGCTTTGAAGATCAGTAGAAAACATGAGGAGCTGCTTGTACAACTTTCTGGATTCTTGGACACAGACATTGGAGAAAAGGAGGAACCACAGGAACATTTAATTTTAAAGGTGATTATGTGTAGGAGAAGGACTTTCTAATAGACACTGATGAGACTTTTAAAAATGTTTTGCTGTGTGTTATTACTACAATGGGTAATCCCGAAATAAGCTTATTTTTTTTGTAAATATTTGTCATGACAACTTAATTAGACAAAACAAATATGCATAAAACTAGGATAAACTGGCCATTAACTGCTTCTCAGAAGGCTAACAGATTGTAAAAAGAATTTTCCTGAGTGGGAGCTTAGCTTCCACTTGCTTTATTTCTTTGATATTTTCCTGAAAAATGTGTATGTAGAAGTATGAATGTTCTCTCTGTCCCTATTTTTCCCTCGCTTAGGAGCATGCCACGTATTTGGGGAAATTCTGCTGTGTTATATTATTATAAGATTTCTACTTCTAAGGAATGCTTAATAAATTAAATTTATCCAAATATGTGTCACAATGATGTCTTGCAGCCTTTGCTGTCATAATATTACAAGCACTTGTAAATTGTAACAGATGCTTTACTGCAGCCTGGCCAGTTATCATTCCAGGAGAAGATACTTGGTGGTAAACTGTAACTCATACATGCTTTAGGTTAAATAATCGGGCATAGAGTTTAAAAAAGAAGGTGTTGACTTTTTAATTACATTAATCTAGATTCTAAATCTAGTTTGCACTGGGAAATGTGTGCTTTAGGAAAACAGTTAATTGTTTTTCTGTTTGGTGTCATGGTATGTGTACCTAGGTTATTTTCTACATCATTGTTGATGTATCATCCAGACAGAAGTGCTCTGGCACTTCTGGATCTTAAGAGCCATCTTACTGGTAGGAGTTAGGGTACCTTTTTTTCCTAATTTTCTTTAGATACTTTTTGAGGTGTCTGCACTCATCTGTTCTGCTTCTTGTAAGTAACATATTGACCTGGAAACTTTATGAAACTATTACTTTTTTTCCTCAAGGTGCCAGTTGTTCAGAACATCAACCCACCAGTTATTTGGCCCCATCCTTACACTGATGAAGTAGCTGTTACTAGCTCAAGTCTCCCTGTGCCTAAAAGAATTTCAAGCATGAAATGAGGATTTTTGTTCCTCATTCCAAATGAAAGCCTTGACAAATCAAACCAACACTGTCTGCTTTTCACATGAAGATAGTTACACGATCTGCTTTCATTTTTCTGATCTGCTTCAAGTCAAGCACATATACACAGGAGTGACTGTAGCTCTCCACATCTTTAATAGATCATAGAGACTGTGTGGGAGCATGTCTGAGCCACTTTACAGCAAGATGTGGGTTTATGGTGGGAATATGGTTTTCATTCTGATTGCCTGTATAATATTTTAGAATGGAGTAGTAGAAAGCAATTATAAATGTAACCTACGTGTCTTAGAAACAACGTGCTTTTTTTTATGGTGATTAGGAGCAAGTCTATTGTGCTGAATATAGGTTACTGATAAGCATTTTTAAAAAGTTACTTTTTAAAATTATTTCTCTAGGCCTGTGAAATATGTAAAGAAAATATGACACTAAAAAGCCAGGTTGCTGCTCTTCAAGAAGCCATCAATGCCCATGAGATGGAGTCCAAGGCTAATAGAGAAACTATCATGAGACTTGTTTCAGAAATGACCAAAGAGCAGAAGAAGGCAGCAGGATACTATCAAGACATGGAAGAACTTAGAAAGGTAGATAATAACATGATGTGCATGTTTGTCTTGTTTACAGATATTTTCCAGTAATTTCAAATTATTTTTCAGTAAAAGTTGTATTATGAAAGGTATTTTTGACAAACTTTCAAGGGTTAGGATCTCTACTAAAAAGAGAACATTTTTCTGTGGTTACTCTCTCTGTTTTTAAATCTTGACAATATACAGAGATTAAATGTTAACACAATTGAAGAATTGAGATTAGATGTCTTCTGCTGACACTTGTAACTTGATATTTTTGCTTCCGTTTGCACATTCATAGGCTTTACTGTTACTTGCACAAACGTTCTAATTTCTCAGAAGCTTTTTTTTTAAAACAGTGTGAATGTTATCAAGTGTCTCTGAGGCATAAGAATAACACAAGGAAAAATACTCTTTTAAATAGTACTTATGGAATATCACTAGTTTTCTAAAAGTTATTTTACTGGGTTTCCTTGAGATAAGACATTTCCAACAGCTATTTCTCAGGGAAGAAAGATTTGGTTATGGAGAAGAGAACTATTAAGTACCAGGAGGGTCCCAAGTCTTGTGAAAACACCTCTAACCAAGCTAAGTAACACATTCTGTCCAAGAGTAAAGTTAGAGTGAGACAACCTGTCCTGAGAGCTTAAACAGGCCCTTTCTGGCCATTCTTTTTGTTCCCATACTTTAAACATGAACTTATATTTGAATAAGGGGAAGCTATATTATACCTAGTAGGTAAACCAGAATCAGGCTTTGTATTCTTTATTTTTTTTCCTTCTTCTGCCTTTTTAATACAATCATATCTCCCTGAATTTGCTTTACAGTGTTAAATCCAGGTCTTTTTTTATTTTTTTCTTCTCTTTACAAGTTAATTTATCTGTCACCTATTCTGACTTAAATGCATTTTCCATGAACATAGCTCATCTAGTATTGCATATGTTATTTCTCATGAGACCTTGCTAAGGGACCTTAGCCATTAACACTGAGGAACCAAAGAGAAAACACGAGCTGTTATGGTTCCATTCTTTCAGTCTTCTAGGGATGGAAACTGTTTCATCTCCTCACAAGGAGCACATCAGGCTTCTAGGGTTTTACCTCTAGTTGGGGCAGCACTTCTAAAGATTCTAGCATCCAAACTTTCAGGATTCTAGTATCCAAACATTCAGACTGACCTTGCTTAAGTTGATGAGGGAATGTTCTCCATTCAAGACAGTCGTCAAAGACGACTGTTCTGTGTTACAAAGCTTTCAATGTCACTACTACTTATTCTATAAATTGAGTGTATATATTTTTCAAGCTTAGGCATCCACAGGCTTGCAATTACCTATTTTATTCCTTGAATTTTTTGATTGTTATGTTTGTTTGACGATGATCCCAGTTTGAAACATGGCGAGGCAAGTTCCCTGGTACCAGCAAACTCCATTTGTGCTGGTTCTCTGAAGGGAAAAATAGAGAGTGCTCCAGACCATAGTTGAAATAAATCACACTTTACTCTTTGCTGTAATTACTGTAATGTTACTCAGCAAAGGTGGGAAATATCTATTAATAGGACTTGTTTAGAATACAGAGGAGAAAAAGACAAGGAATCACACCAACCTTTGTTTTCAAGAGAGGTTTACAACTACTTTAGAAATGGGTAGTAATGAATGATTACCTAAATGACAGGGTTTGTTTTGGTTTGTTTTCATTTATGTGTTTAATTGTTAGTCTTTTTGAAGCTATTTAAAAATTTCAGTATTTTAGTATGGCATGTTTACGTTTTATTTCCAAGGGTGCCTCCCAGGCTCCTTTCTGTCCGTCCTCGCTCCTGAGCTGTATGATGTTTCCCAGATTTACTGCTTGATTAACGTGTATTCCATTAGTGCAACTGGTTTGCTATGCTCCAATTCTTTAATACCAGTGCAATTCTATAATACCAATGAAAGCAATCCCAGCTGATATCAATCCAGGTATTGACCTTCCCCTTGGAAACTGAAGATTCTAAAAAATTTTAACTACTCTTTTAAATATGCCATCCAGTCGTCTAGTTTTATGTCTTGTGTGAAGGCATATTCCTTCCTTTTGTATCTGTCCGTCAGATAATACCTCAGAGAATGAAGACATCCACACTCCGTGCTGCACCTTTAGTTGTCTTGACTGCAGATTTTATCCTAATCACTTTTAATACGACTATCCTGAAGCTGGTTATTTTTCTGCTTTCCAAGCTGAGACTTGGCTCATCAGATGAGAGAGAGAAAATTACTTTTAGAAGGTCTGAGCTTCAAATGAAAGTGTTGTGGCTGTACGAGGCTAAATATGAACCATGATAAAAGAATATTTTTTAAGATGAAATTGGTATTTGAGTATTTGCACTTTATTCTCTCAACTTTTTTCCCCCATTATTTTTTTGTTCCCATCCTTTTTCCCCTACTCGTTATTTCTGTACATAATCTTGTCACATTCAGCAAAGATTAATTCTATTATTAACAGTATATGTAAAAGCTTTTTGTGTATTCATGCTTTTTCTTCCCACAAATGGTAACTTTAACTTTCTTTGTGTTACATTTTCTTCCCTAGTGGGTTTCCAAGTCTCATTTTCTGAATGAAAACATAATTTAGCAGTTGTTTTACAACCCCAAATTATGTTGAACCTGCAAATTTCCTTCACGTATTTCTCTTGCAGGTTAATCCACGGTGTGATCACGGCATCTTTTGGGCTTTCATTAGTGTCAGTGGGAATTCTCCCGCTGTCCTTAGCCCCATAAGAACATTACAGGTCCCGATTCCCCCCACCGCAACACTCACTTCTGCCTTGGTGTCTGCTTTGGCAGGCAAGTTCTGCCTTGCTGCCTGCGCTGGGGACTTCTAACAGATTCTAATAGTCTGTTTCAATCTTCCATGTGCTGTAGGATCTTGACAGTGCTAAACGAGCAAGACAAACTTTGGAGACTGAGATTGGCAGCCTCCAAGACAAACTGAGTGCCAGCCAGAGAGCTTGGGAAGCCTCCCAAGAAGAGCTGCTCCATGTGAAGAGATCTTCCAGCGAGCTGGATGGGAGCTTGAAGAACAGCCGAGAAGAGGCCAGGGCTGCTCTGAACTCTCTGGTTTCTTTGAAAGAGCAAATTGCCACCCTGCTCAGCAGCAGGTCTGCAACAGTTAAACCTTCTGAGAAGGCCATTTTGGAGAGGATCCAAGAAATAAGCTGCAGGGAGAAGAGTAAAGAAATAGTAAGTGTGCAGCTACTAGATTTTCCTAAGATTTTCTTTTATTGTTCTCTTTAGCTCTTTCCTGTTTTGTTTATGTGCATGTTGTCTCCTTTTGCTTGGATCTTCAAATTAGGTACCTGTAATTGGCTTGTCTGATTTCATATTATTAGGCCAAAAACATACATATTTTTAACATAGGAAGAGATCAGGAACGAAATTAATAACATGCTAAGAAAAAGCAAGAAATATTTTTTCGTTAAAACACTGAAACTTGGTTTCAGTGCCTCTTAGCAGACCTCAGGAGTGGCAGCCTGGTCACTACAATTTAGCTGAGCGTCCCTCCTGAGCAAGGAGGGATTTTCTGCTGCAGCAGCGACTTCAAGGAGGGGAGCCTTCCTCGGAGCTGTGTCTCGGAGACGAGGTGCTCAGCTGCCCAGGGCAGAAGCCTTCCCTCTAGGCCTCCAGGCCTGCGCTTAGAGAAACCTGCTTTTGCACTTGCAGTTAAACGCTGTTGACACCGTCCTGTTTTAGGAGAAAGGCAGCAGGAGGAGGAGCAGGGCAGGCATTCGAACGCTTTCAACTGCAGCATTTGGGCTGCGTTGGCAAAGGTTGCAAAGGAAGGGCAGGCCTGGGAAGAGGCAGCCCTGGAGAAGGGGAGGCAGTGTTACTAAACCAGGAGAGAAAATGAGGTTCTAGCACTGGAGTCTGGAGAACGTCTGTGGTCAGCCCTGACTTGCTGCTGGTCAGAGCACTCAAATTTCTTTCTTGTTGATAAGGACAGATATTTGTTTTGTGAGCACAATATTGTCAGAGGGGACCGTTATTTAATTAAAAAGTGACACATTAAATCAAAAGTTCTATCTGCCAAAAAAAAGCAACTTTTATGTCCTTGCCAGATTTATGATTCTAGCATCTTCTGCTGATATGATACTTAATGTTAGCAAAAATTGTTTGTTTTGGTTCTATCCACAATTTAAAACATCTCCTGATGCTCTCTTAAACCTTAGTTTGAAAGACTGTGTGCCAAATTTCAGTGAAAACAGACAGGTTATGTGAAAACGTCCCTACAGTTTTGCTACAGTGTGTCATGGAGCATGGCATTCATAATCAAAATGCTTCAAAATTGAAATCTAATGATAAGCTAATGGCACGTGTGCTTGTGCTGTTTGGCATACATATTTGACATACATATTTCATTGCATGGACAACATTTTTTTCCACTTTCTTGAGGAATGTGTCTTGCTTTACAAGTAAGAGCATTGCTTTGAAAAGCCATGTTCTGTTACATGGAACTACTATACGCTGTATAAATAATTAGTTATTCTTTCTGGACATGCACAGTAATAATCAGTTTCATTTTTTTCTCCAAACAACCATCAGTATTCCTATTTTAGAGCTAAAGAAGTGAAAGTTACAGCAAACAAGTAGTTTTTCCATAGCATGATAAGAACTTATTTGCTTGCTGTGCTGTAACCTCTCACTCCCCCAGAAGGACCTCTTGACTGTTCGGTAGAAAATGTCTGCAATTTGGGCCTGAAAATTTGAGGCATTCATTTTTCAACGTTTTTGCTCTCAACATTAAATATATATCCTTAAAAAAGAAATGATAATAAAACAATTGTTAAGACAGAGCAAGTGTTGGCTTTAACTTACTGCTGCCTAAGTCTGTGCTGTGGAACCAAGATGCTGGTCTTGGGCCTGTCACCTTTAGTTAGTTTATTTTTAAATAGTAGAGGGGCAGATATGTCAGATATGCCTAGCACCATTGCTGCCTCTGCCAGCAAGTACAGCACTTATGTGCTAATACATAATATTCTCCAGAATGATGATGATCCAGACCATCAGTTTGTGGCTCAGGAAGTTCCAGAACAACAAATAACATCTTCAAGGGCAATATTTCTGGGTGAAATTAGTCCTTGCTACATTGAGTGATGTCTAGTGTTCTACTGCATTGTCCTGAGCTGCACTGTGTTGCACTGAGCTGCACTGTATTACCAAAACATTGCCAGCATCTCTTCTCAGAAGGGTTTCTATATTAAGATCAAGGGCTTTGAAATAAATAAGCTAAAATGCCAATATGAAGCACTTGTGCGTGCAGTGCTAATAGAGCACTCAATGTGTCATCCAGAAAGTTGTTTTGCAATCAGCTGTTTTTCTTTCTGGAAGTCAGAATTAAAAGCAGTTTCTAAGGCTCTGATTGCAAGGTATAAACACGCTGGTACGACCTTCTTGATCAGGGTCCCGTTGCATTTTTTTGGTGAATTTCTTTGCAGGACTTGGATATAACATTCTGGTTTAGGATATGTATGTTATTCTGTTTTAAGAGCTGTATGTTCTACTATTGATCAGTCATGAAAAATATTAATTGTCTTCAGATACGTTTTAGAGCAAGGATTCCTCCCAAATTCCCAGCAAACTGCCAAGCCTGATGGAAAACAATTTCAAATGAGGATCAGAAGTTTTGTGGCAGGGTAGACGGGGCTGTGCTGGTGTTTCAGGCAAGCTGCTTTGTGGCTGGACTCTGGCAATGCCAGCCCAGCTAGGTCTGAGTCCAATAGCCCCGGGCCTTTCTGCTGGAGATTAAAATGTTGCTAATGAACGAGCACTGTGGGGATGGAGGGTTGCTCTGCTGCTGCTGCTGCTGCTCTAGGAGTTGAGCATCATCTGTACAGAGCTCAAGAACCCAACAGCCACACACAAACCAGGTCCCGTTAGGTTTGTTTGGCTTGTGTCAGTGCAAGCATCTGTCAAACAGAGCTGTGAAAAGTTTTAAAAGTACACGTGAGAAATGCATTAATTGCACTTCTTTGATGTGGTTGTGTAAGACAGATTTTTCCGTGGCAATTTCAAATGCTCTTGAAGATTTGAATTGTGGTGCTCTGAAGGACCCCAGATGTTATTCATGGCCTGCATATTAGACATTAACACTATCAAAAACTGTAATTTTATTCCAAAAAAATCATCATTTACAATGACAATGTCTTGTGATAAGTATCCTAGTGCAGGATTAAGATACTGCTTGAATTACCATCCTAAGGAGCTTTGCAGCAGTTCTGACAAGAAGTGCAGCATCTGAATGCAGCTGGGCAGCCTGTGGATGTGTTTGGCGCTTGTTGTTCATAACACGTCAGCCGGGGACATGGGGGCCAAGGCAGGAGGCTCCGTGCAGGAGCTCCCGTGAATCCCAGCCCCGGGCTGACCTCGGCGGGGTCAGTGCTTCCTGCTCGTGAGGGTGAGGACATTTGTCACAGCAGGTTAAATCAGGGCTGAAACTGCTCTTGCTCCTGACGACCTGCCCATCTGATGTGAGGGAGCAACAGCCGATCCGATCTGGAATAGTCTTAATTGCATCAGTTTTCAGCCATGGGTATTGATACAACAGACTCATAAATGCCAAAATTGATTAGACTTGACTACTGCTCCCACGGAGATCTCCTATGGCTCTTTTTGTCAAAATTCTTAGTGATTTGATTTGCAATGTAAGGGACACTTTCCTTTCAGGACCTGTCTGCTTTTCCTTTGCTGCCACGGAGGAGCCCTTTGCTGCAGAGCTAGCGCAGCCTTGCTGTGTCCGTGCGTGCGCTTGTGCGCCTGCTGCAACTTGGGCTCCATAGAGTCATGGAATCCTGAAGGTTGGAAGGGACCTCCAGAGGTCATTGAGTCCAACCCCCCTGCACACACAGGGTCACCCAGAGCACGGGGCACAGGGCGGCATCCAGGCGGGTTTGGAAGACCTCCAGAGAAGGAGACTCCACAACCTCCCTGGGCAGCCTGTGCCAGGGCTCTGTCACCCTCACTGTCAAGAAGTGTTTCGTTAAGTTCCTGCAGAACTTCTGGTGCTTCAGTTTGTGGCCATTTCTTCTAGTTCTGTCAGGGGCCACCACTGAAAAGAGGCCACCCCATCCTCCTCCCTCCCTCCCTTAAGGCATTTATAGATACTGCTCAGGTCCCTTCTCAGCCTTCTCCACCTGCATGGCATGTGGAGGAGGACGGGTGATGCTGTGTGTCTGTTTCTTTTTGTATATCTTTTTCAAACAAGAACAAATGGAAAATAATTTGACCGATAAAGTTAGACATTGATCAATGCAGAATAATATAAATAGTGACTTAGGATTTACCAGTGACCAGTGAAAAATAATGCAACTGGAATGTGAGGAATTAGTGGAAATAGAGTGGAAAAGAAAATGAAAATTGTTAAGTATGTTGCTATATAGATCCATGATGCTGCCACATTCTGAATACCAAACATAATTGTGATAGTCTCATCTCCCTCCACAGAACCTATAAAAAGGGCAATAAAGACCTTTTAATAAATAAAGGGCCTCAGAGTGTTCAGAGGCTTCTTGCAAGAAAGGACTCAGCGGGGCAAGGAATTTTATGTTAGGAACAGAGAGTGGGATGCAGCAAAGCAAAATGTAGCCTTGCTCAAATAAGGACAAGGGTGAGAGCAGTGGCAGCTCTAAGGCTTTTCAGCTGGTGAGAATCTCAAAAGTTTTTGTACTCTGTGCACATGTGTGTGCATGTAACACTGGGGATGTTTAAGATAATGTTTTACAGAACGAGAGGAGCACAACTGAGCGAAGCTGCTGCAAGAGACCCCTCCAGAAGTGAGTATCTGGAATTTCTTGCCAGACAAGTGGCATCCAGGGAAGCTCCCAGGTAGCCACAGGCAGCCGCAGGAATTGCCTGTCTTGGCACCCTGCTTGTCCGCGCTGCACCAGCCTTTGTGCAGGAAGTTACAGGGGTTCAGAGCAGCAGGACCAAAACTGCAGCCTGAATAAACCCCTGGATCAGGCACGGGGAATACAGGGGCAACCTAGTTTCAGGAAATTCCTAATTTGTTGCTTGATCTGCAGCAGAAACCCTGGATGCCTCCTGGATGCTCTTGAAGACATCCTGGATGCTCTTAAACTTGCAGCGTGGTGGTTTTGTGGTGACACCTTCTGTGGTAGTTTTTGTGTTTATGATCTTTAGCACCGCAGCCTCTGTGCGGACCCGAGTTACTGAAATCTGTGTTTTCTACTGAGTGACGGATCTGATGCAGAAAAGCTTAAGATGATGGTGTGGGAGTTCCTATGGTTTTCTTATTGTTGAGTACTCTACACCACCGCACAAGCAATAGTAACCTCTCAGTGTTCTCCAGGCAGTTTTGGTGCAAAGTATTGTTTGTGTTTAATCGTGGTTGAAGTTGGAAACCTTTATGTGTCATTAAAATTAATGGGGATTTTGCATGCTTATTGTTTATTTTATTGCCATGAGGCAAACAGATGTTTAAAACGGAGAGACTGTTGGGAGATGAGTATCTGAAAACTGAATTAAAAATGCACAACAATGAATTATCTAAACAATAAGTGAGAAGGAAGAACAGGAGAGAGGGAAAGAGAGAAACAAGCAGTTTTTTGAATAAAAACTGATAATTCAGTATTTGGCAGTGGTATAATCAGATACCAAGCATTAATTTATAAATACTTATTTAAAAATAATTATTGTGCACCAATTGCAGGATTAACAGTGTGCAGCTGCAACTGTTTTCAGAATCATCATACAGCTTCTTGTTATAATATTTTTATCCTTTTATCCTTACAGAAAAGAAGCATTTAGCAAAACAGTTTAAGTGCCCTCTGAAAACAAGCTAACAGTTGAAGGAAGCTTCTGGGACTTGCTTATTCTTATCTCAGTTCTCATCTATATATCGTGGGTGTTTTCTAAAACACTCATCCATTTTTTCCTACTCGACTTTGTGACAACCTGGAGATCATATGGCCCTTTTTTAAAGCAGGCTCGTTGACTGCCAGCTCTGAGTGGTTAGCCCGCATCTCTATAATGTTTGTGTCTAAATTAGTTCATATGGAAATAGTTGTTTAAAGATACTCGCTCCTTTTAGTTGATTGACTCATCTTAGATACCGTTTCTATTGTTCTTTTGAATGCCTCATGTGTAGCTATTCCTGCCATTTTTTTTTTCCAGTGGATACAATAGATTTTTCTCTTCTTGCTTTTTCAAATATATGTATTTTAAAGAGTTTTTTAACCTTATTTTCAATAATTTGAGTAGTGATTTTTTTTCATATCAAACATTTCTGTACCTATCTAACCCCATCCCTTGGTTTGTTTGCTCCCTAGATGGTATCTCAGCTTGAAACTCAAATAGCTGAATTGACTGAAGCTTTGGAAAATCAGACCACATTGTACCAGGCAGCACTGGAGAGGACAAGGAAAGCTGAGAAACTATCTGAGACTTTCCAGGATAAACTGAAACACTTGGAAGAGGAATTGCTGTCTGGACGTGTGATGCAAGATGCTTTGAAGCTTGAGAAACAGAAGGTAACTGCACAGTTTATTTACCTGTGTATAAAAACTAGTAAAGCCAGAGGGATAGTTAATTGTATTGCATTGATCAGCTTGAGTATTACAGTGCTGCAAGTAACGTGGATTAGCAAAGTAAAGCATGTGTGACACTTTAATATCTTTGACTAACAGTTTTAATTGCAAAAAGCAGATACATTTCTGATTTCAAAGTCAATTTAACGTGCAAAAAACTCTTGCATCTCTATCAGAAAACCTGTAAGGATCTCTCATCTGAAAGCTGCTCCATCCTCCTCTTGTATATTATTTGATCCGCAGCATCTCGAGGTCCTGCTGTCCTTGATTCCTTTAAAGCCTTGCACCCTTGTGGCTACCAAAATTGCTCTATCAATACGGTGACTAAAACCACTCTTGTTTTGGAACATTAACCACATTTTAAGACTTTGGAAAATGACATAATACCTGGAGAACTAAACCAGCCGTTCAATGCAGCTAAGAAGGGCAGCGGGTATGATGAGTGGTAGCAAGTTACAAAGCCAAGATTAGTGATTCAGGGAGCAATTGTTGAGTTTTGCAACAGCTCAATGCTGTTTTGCATTAGTTTATAATACAGCAACTTTTATGAATAAAATATCAACCACGTTGGGAACAAACAAGAAAAGGAATTTCTTTCCTTCTGCTTCTTCTCTGGAGAAACATGTGGCCTTACTTTCTTATTTTTTCTAAAGATGTTGCTGCAAGAAAGAAATCTTTGCTGTTCTTTTTTTGCTGTTAATGAACAGCACCAGTGCTTCTACTGCTGCTGTTTTGAACTGTTTGAACTGTAAACAGTGTGAAAGAAAGAGATTCTTGCCACTTTTATCATTGTGGAAGCATCAGTTGTGGAAGTAAACAGGAGGTTTTTATTTTCTTCATGATTTTCATCTGTTTTTCTATTGAAAAGGTTATGAGCAGCAACAGAAATGTGTTAGAGCAGAGCAAAATCCAGGTCCAGTGCAAAGAAAAAATAGAAAGGGGAATAAAATCCATGTGTGTTTGCATCAAGAACTCCCTAAATGATCAGAAAATCAGACAAAAATTGAACAAACACAGAAATATGTTGCTTAAGACAAGTATAAAAGACTACTGTACAGATAAAAATTGCACCAGGGCCTAAAACGAATGAAAGCTGGGGTGTTAAGGAATGAAATATGGACAATAGAAGAAGATTAAATATACAAAGAGGAAAATGTAGTCCTTAGTGAAAAGGATAACATCACTTTTCACAAGAGATCCAATGTATGACCATGGAAATAAGGTAATTTTTAAAGGGCTAAGAAGACAGGACAAAAAAAAAAAAAGAGGGGAGAGGAGGAGGAGGGAAGAGATTAAATGGTATTTGGTATTCTGTATCACATCAGTACACCAGATTAAATTCATATTACAGCAATTAAATAATCTTTGGAGCAATTTTTAAATTAGTAGCCACTGTGTCTGGCATTTGCTTTTCCAAAGCAGGGTGCTACTGGTTCCACGGTACTGACAGTGTTGACACTGCTGTGTCTCTCCATGCCATATGAAATCTCCATCTCCAAGTGACTCTCCTCTCCAGAGGAGACCACAAGGGCCTCCCCTGGCATCCCTGGAATCACTTTTATCTCTGTTCCTTGGCCAGAGCTGCTGCCACAGGGCCGATGTTCCCAGTTAAGTGGGAAGTCTGGCTGCTTTTCCTCCTCCTGCCTGAGCCTGGTCATGCGGAAGAGCAGAGCCATGGAGAGCCTGTAGACACACACACACACACGCACATGCACATCTAACACCCCTTTCTGTAGAGAAGCAGGAGCCAAGCCGGACTCTTGAAGAAGATAATTACACTAGGTCCAGGATCTTACAAGCTAAATACATGTCCATTGAGGAAGGACCACTGGGGAATTTTCAGTCTTATCACAGTGTGTGCCTTATTTCTTGGGATAATGGTTGTTGACTCTATTAATTGTGTGTGGTAGGAATTGCTTTAAATTACACTGTTATCTTTTTTTTTCTCTTTTTTTATTATTATTTTCTTTCTTTTCCCCCCATCTTAGTATCTGAAATTTCTTGAACAACTTAATGAGATGATGAAGCTGGACAACATAGCAGTGGAGGTTGGGTTTGACATGAATATGGATGCGATTCTAGCTCGAGCAGAGCAGCTGGTGAAACTGGAAGGGGATGCAGTGATTGAAAATAAGACCATGGCATATAGCCTAAGAAGAAAGGTGGGCAAAAAAAGGTGTATTCTTACTGTTTGTTGCAAAGGTAACCTGGTTATGGTTGTATTTCTGATAGATTGTTAGAAGCAGAAGCCTGAGGCCTCGTTACATAAAGAGAAGGTAGTAAGTGGTTTAACAAGTTGTGCAACCAAGCTGCAGTTAAGACTCCCAGTCAGTTAATGCATGATACTGCTTCTCATACCTTCTTTTAAAGAATAGTTATCCTATGCATATTTATACATCTCTATTTTTAATACAAATTAATAAAATATTTTTAGAATGATTATTGACTTAAAATCTAGAAGGATCTACTGGGAAGGATGGCATCTTGCATCAGCTTCTCTACCATCTAGCATAACATGGGTTGAACATGGGTTCAACGTTTCTAACAAGAACTTTGCCTCTTTAGGTGTCTTGATAATGTGCCCAAGTTGGGTTTCAAATCACACTGTGGACTTTCCGAAAGCAGCTAGCTCTTTAGTAGGGAGGCTGTGTGTGAATATCCTTCAGATGTTGCAGAGTAAGGCCAGGTAGTTCAGCTCAGCTAAGCAGAAAGCAGGTAGTTCCCAGGACACCAGCATTATAAAATTAAGTTGCTGGCCTTTGTTTTGCAGGAGTATCTAGTGCTTTCTTGTACTGTGTGCTGACTCCGCTTCTTACACATGGGCTTTAATAAACTACTTAGACATGGGAATATTTTAGCTATGAGTGCTGAAGCCACTGGCTGCTTAATGAATGTGTCTTTAATCTCTTGCATTTGACAAGTGCAAATCTCAGATGCTGCATTATGTGCGAGTATTCTAGTAGAATGGGGGTCTGTATGTAAATTACTCTAAAAGTTGCTCTAAGCACAGACTTAAGGACAGAGATGTATAATGAGTTACTAATAAGAGGCATCAAATTAATGTTTTTATACACACTAGCTGTATATAGTTTGTATATGTTTATACATATATGCATATGTGTATACTCCTTTATATAGTTTTCAAAGGAGGAGTTGGAAGCTCGGGTTACACACAGAACAAGGGAAATAAATTTACATAACAGTATGTGTAGAAGTTCCTTCAGTTCTCATTGTCATTGTCTTTTACAACTACTGGTTTAAATACCCTTGTGGTTTTAAAACTAGTTGAAGACTCAGAAAGAAAAGCTTGAAAGTAAAGAGCTGCACATAAACCTTCTGCGGCAAAAAATAGCCCAGCTGGAGGAAGAGAAGCAAGCAAGGACGGCCGTAGCTGTGGAGCGGGATGAGGCCACTCTCGCTGTCCGAAAGTTACATAAAGTGATAGAGAGGTTACAGCAGCAGCTGGATGCAGCAAAGGAAACTAATACTGATCTCAAAGCCAAGCTGTCCGAAACCCATGAGCTTAAGGTGAGTTAAAATGTTGTGCTTTGTTCTTCTACTCAGTTTTCTTTTCCATTTGAATACAACTGGAGTTCATTTTCAGTTAAAGTGTTCATAGAGGATTGCTCAAATACATCTAGTTTGGGAAAACAAATACATTAATGCATTGTTTTGGATATTTAGTAGTCCTTGGTACGCTAAACAGCATATATAAAGCACAATATAAATCTTAAAATTTACCAGAAAAATGTGGTCCCTTCCTCTCTCTTCAGTATAGCTGTAATCTTTTGTTTTCACATACATAGCTCATACATAGCTCATTTGCTTACAGCAAACTTATTCTGATTGACAGTGGGGAGACAGTTTTTATTTCACATAAGATAGGCAAGATGCTAAATTATCCTTTTCATGTGTGTGTTCATTACCTTGCAGCAGTAATAAACTATCCAGTTTAACTCAGGTGGAAACAAATAGTTTGCAATTACTGATAGCCTGCAACTACTGGAAATAGGGGCGGTTTTCATTTTATGTGACTTTGTGTCTTATGGCTGATTGACTGAAGTAGGTGCAAGTTCCATCAAAGGACCCTGGCACAACATCTGGCAACACTCACGTTGATTTTTCCAGTGGTTAGCCAAGAATGAACTCGCACTGCAGGGGTTTGGGCGTTCAATCCCTTCTTCATGAAAGCGAGCAGAAAATTAGATATCTTCGGAACGACAGTCTGTCTGTAAATTCAGTTGAAATTGGCCAGTTGCTTCAACAACTTTGCATATCACATTTCTGTGTGATTTCGTTAAGAATTCTGCTTCTGCCGTGTGAATTAGTAGTAATGTCATTTCACTAATATGAAAATTACAACATTAAAATGTGTATACTTAGCCATTTTTGTTATTTTCTTAAATGAAAGTCTATGAAGGATTTAACATTTATTATTGTAGATCAAAACTTTGGAGCAGAACAGAACAATAGAAGAACTTAATCAGTCTCAAGGCAAGTTGCAAAGACTGAAAGAAAAGGCTGAGAAACAACTTACCTCTGTCAAATCTGAGCTTCATTTAAAAGAGCATGAAGCTAATGAAGATAAAGAAAAGGCCAACAGTATGATGAAAGCACTTTCCAGTGAAATGGAGGTGCTTAAAACAACCCTTGCAGAAGTAGCAAAGAGAGAGAGACAGGTAGGTGTGTACTGCCTGACTATACACTTGACAAGTACTCGGTGTCATTCAGGACGTAAGAATGTGGTATGATAGAGCAGCTTTGCAGCTGTGCTTCAAACTTGTGTGAACATTCACAAATGAGGAAATACTAGCTCAGAATAAAGCAGTAATTTGAGCTAAGGCAGCAAGTGTGACTGAGAGGTAAGGTGCTTCAAGTTATACATGCAGTACAATGAAAATAAATCTATGCCTTGTATTTGTGCACTGCAGCATGCTCTGTTTACATCCCATTTTGGAGAAGATGGATAAAAAATTCTTTTTTTACACATTTGGATCCATTTGTTTCAAGGTATATTTTTTCATATTTCTTATGTAAAACTTAGTTGCACGTTGCCATGAATACACCAAAACAAAGAACATGGATATGTTTCTGGGTTAATAATAATAATTAAAACTCCAAAACATTAACTACTTATTCACCAGAGTCCACAATCATCTACACTGCAGGAACCTTTTGTGCACTTGAAGGTGAAACTATTCTGCTAAACAGGGAGAAAAGCTGTTTGTAAAACCTAAGTCTTGTGCTCCTGCTGTGCAAGTTAGTAGTAATATCATATAGGTAATATGAACATTTCCAGGTATATTCACAGCATCTTGTCCTGGATTATAAAAGTTTGCTTAAATATTGCCTTAACACTATCATGGTATTTTTAAATCAGAAAAATCTTTCTAAAATCTCTTTTACTAATAAATGCATGCTTATTTATTTTTCTTTTTTCGTGGAATTGTTTAATGCAGATAGTCTGACAGCTTGTACAAGCATGTGCACATTTTTTCCTTTATTATAAGGATTTTCTTCAATCCTTCCTTTCTTGCTCCATCTTCTCTTCTTTCTAATACAGCAGGACACCCCTATATTTTCCTTTAGGTAAAAGTTGCATATAGTTTACAGCATATAAAATGTCCCTTTCCCCCTCTTCTCCTTGGTCTTGAGTTGATATCTTCATCTTTTCTTTTTCTCTTTTACTTCAGATGTAATTACTCACTGAAGAAAATCTAGCATAAGTTTTCACCTCTGCAGCAAATATTTAATTTTAAGTCTTCATTGATGCTTGCCTTTTATAATTCATTTCCTTTATTTCAAATTAGTTTTGAAATATTAGCTAGCTTTGAAATATTAACTGTTATTGAAGAAAACCTTAAATAGAGAGCTTTGTGGTGCTTCTGTTAGCTTATACTGCTTCAACAAAGCTGTGTTCTTAATCTCTATCTAGCACTGTTTATAAATCTGAAATACATTTCTCATCTATCTTTGTAGGTCCTTAGTCATTTTAGTATAAAATTTATAAGATGCTCATGATGTGCATGCAGCACAGTACTTTGGAATATAAACACTTCTTTTACTTTGTGGGGAATACTGTGGAATTCTAACAAGAGTTCAATTTCCATCTTTTGTTGCTTTTGTTTATATTTTTTTAGAACTCAGATTGATGTTCCTTGACTTGGCATTTTTGCATCTAAGAGTCTATGTAGAGAGAGTATTTCTTTGTAGTCAACCTTTTGTAGTCAACCTTTTTGCTGCCTTTTCTACAGCTTTATCTGTACTGTACCATATCTGTCATAATATAACCATCAACCACCTGGGTTTTTATAAGGGTTATTCCTTTAAACTGGAAAATCAATCCTCAATTTAGAATTCATGTAAGTGGTTGGCTTAAAGGATTCCTTTAAGGGCTGTGCCTTCCCATTTAGGTTGCTTGCTGATGGATGCCATTGAATATGCTTGATATATATTCATATATTGAAAATATTTATTGTCCAATCAATATAGCTATGACCCATTTTTTTCCTCAAAAAGAGTGAGAGAGGATTCCATATATCTTTTAATGTGCGTTCATTCCCTCTAAATTCTGCCAACTCATTAATCAGTATCTGTCCATCACATAAAAATGTGATTGTCATTCAGCTGGGTATACCTGTTGCCCTAATGAAGTTGAACAGCTAGGATAAAGATAGGGCAGCAGTTGAGTCAGCAGAATGAAAAGGGGACTTACAGGAGTCTAGTCCACAGACTGCATCCTTTCAACAGGAATGCCTTGTTAACATTTAATTTTTACATTCACAGGTAAACAAACTCCATCTCTGCTGCCTATTTGATATATCTGATACAGAGTTTAAAAATCCTTTAGCTTCCAGCTTTGGTATAGGCACTAGAGAATATACAGGCACTTTTTTTAAGCTGGAAATGAATAGCTGGGAACGAGTTTTGAGACTCCGTGAGTGCCATAATATGTTTTGGTTTCCATATCTATTTTTCTGAACTGGTTAGATCCTTAGGTGTTATACTGGGCTGTAGCAAACTGTCTCTGGCAAAGTCTTGGCACTGAGATTTTCCTTCATATCCTGCTTCAGGATCTGGCCCTCACATTGTAGGGTTTTGCTGATACTTGCTGCAAGTGTGATAGGGGAGCGTGATAGATGAGCATCACACTGGCAAGTCTGCCAGGGACCTCCCTGATGAGCGACCAGGGCTGCTGACTGGTCAGGGAGAGCGGCTTGGCAAGCGCCTCCGCCAGCTCCCCCAGGACCCTCATGTGGATCCCATCCAGCCCCAAGGATTTGTGGGTGTCCACAAGGAGTAGCAGGTCACTGTTTCCCCCTGAGTTATGGGGGTTTCTCCTGCTCTCCATTGGTTCTTCCAGCTCAGGGGACAAAGTGCCTTGAGGAGAGCTGATTTGGGGACTAAAGACCAAGGCAAAGGTGGTGTTAATACCTCAGCCTTATCCTCATGCTTGGTGACAATGTTCTCCACTGCATCCAATAAAGCATGGAGCCCTCCTTGGCCTTCCTCCTCTTGTTAATGTATCTGTAGAAACAATTTTGGTTGGTTTTACAGCAGTGACAGATTAAGTTCCATGATGTATATTAAGGAACATTTCAAACTGGGAAGAAAAATTCCTAAATCCTTAGCATCTCAGTTTTTTACTTGTTTTTTTGAAGTATGCCCCTAAAGGCTCCGTTTCCGTGTCCCTCAGTATTGAGCAATGGCAGAAATTCTGATATTTTGCACTGTTAATACAAATGCTTGCATCTGTATGAATATGTGTGTGTGTATATTTTTAAAGATCTTGAATTTGCTTAATATTTCATGTATTAATCTTCTTCTAATCTATTAATCTTCTTCTAATCTATTAATCTTCTTCTAATCTATTAATCTAATTTCATGTATTAATCATCTTCTGTTTGCTCTTGCAGCTGGCAGACTTCCGGGAAGTGGTCTCCCGGATGCTGGGACTCGAGATTGGCAGCCTCGCTCTTCCTGACTACGAAATCATTACCCGCCTCGAAGGGTTGATACACTTTCAGCACCATTTTTTCCCCTGTGTCTGCCTCAAAGATGTGGCGAGGGCACGAGATGAACCCTCACAAGGGAATATGTAACTTCTCTACTGAAATACACATTTTGCAAGGTCACAATTTTGGGAAGTATTCTCTAAGAAATGACAGCTTCAGTGAATTCCTTATGCTTTATCCTGAGTGACAGTGAGGAAATAAAGTGGGAATGGTCTCTTACTCTTACAATAGACATCTCGGTGCATTTTTATGCATAAGGACATTGGCCTCGATAGTTTTTTTTTTTGGAATTAGACAGAAGACTGTCAAAGCTTTGGAAGAAGTGATTCTTTTTTCATTTATTTTTAGTGCACTGAATACTGTGGCTAGTTTCCGAAAGAAATACTAAAGAAAAGAAAAGAATATATAAAATATATGTATAATATAATATATATTTCTTTTACAATCTTCTACCTGGGATAGATATAGTTGGTAGAGTTGTGTGCTGCCTTTGGTTATGGTGACTTGGAAGCTTTCCTTTTAGTTGCTGTGTCCCTTGGAAAATTACTCTTCAGGTGCAAAATAAGTTGTGATTCTTCTGAATTCATAAAAAGTTTTATAAAAACTTTCCTCCACTACTAAAAATCGTTGAATAACAGAGTTCTTTCATTTTCAGAAATCCTAAAGCAATGATGATGTCCAGAAATATCTTTTAATCATGAAAGCTGAGTGTCTGTCACCCATTCTATGTCATGTGAAGCATTTTTTTTAAAAATTTTGAACAATAAATTAACTCATTCTTGCATTCTTTTAATCGTCTTTCTCTCCTTATACATTATGTGTTGATTTATAGAGCAGCGAGGAAGACTTATCTGTATTTGTAGGAGCTTTGTGGACTTCAAACAGCAAGTTGTACCCCACTCATTAAAATTGTGAGCAATCTATTTGAAGAAAAAACAGACTTTTTTAAGAAAGTGTGGTAATTTTGGAATCTAGCTGTGGACTCAGACCATTACAGATTGGTTTTATTTTGCTTCTCTGAAGTAGCATTACTGAGTGAGTTGTTCGTAAAATATGCCAGGCTTTTGCAAAATTTGTGGTTTGAGAGGGTGATAAATCATATATTTTTATGTTCTAAAGCTTCTTGGATTAAAACTTGTTTTTTTATTTTTATAATATAGTACTGCTCTTCAAGAAGAATTTAATTAATGGAATGGAGGAAAATGCAAATATAAAATCAGATAAACTTAGGGAAGCACCATACTTCCAAAGTGTAATAGCAGGTTGAAATGTGAATATTTTCTAGGTATACTATATGAATTGGGAATTTGGAGAGTGGATAAAGATGCAATAATTTTTTAATTCTTCAGGAGAATGCAGACAATTTCAGCTTGTATTTTGCTGGTACTATAGGTACGTCTGAGAGCAGAATCCTTTCCAAATGATTAGTACTATTCTTTCCTCTTCTGCCCCAGTTATAAATAAACAACACAAACTGATTTCTTCATCCATATTAATTATAAACTATACAAAGCACAGTTTACTTGATGAACACTAAATTAAACAAACTACATTAAGAAATTAAGTCCAAACAGTTCAGATAATTAATAAGATTAAGAAATAGTCTCTGATAGTTCATAACTTCAAGAAAGTATGTATATTTATTTTATGGATAAATTAGATAATTTCCTATTTGCAAAGGGCCTTAAAACCTGCATTCCTGCCTCTGTGATACAATCCATGACTCCAGCAACGAAGCTGCAGCCCTGCAGAAGGCAGCACCGAAACTCTGCGGGTTACTTCACAGAGGCTTTTACAGCAGACTGGTAATAAAGCTCCACTACTGTCTTGTGTGTTAAGCCAAGAGTAGAGTTAGGATTTTCCAATGTTGGTTTTACCTTTTTTTTTTTTTTTTCTTCCCCTAATACATGGATCCATAGTCTCTGAAATACTAATGCTAATGTAGTTTGCCAAGGAATATGAATATGTTAATAATCCCTCTAGTTGCTTTTCTTTTGGAGGAGTGCATCTTTGCTCATCTAGCTAAAGCAAATAACAAAACAAAAGTAAAGCAGTAGTTTGACATGAGCAAAGTTCAGGTGATTTTTGACCCATGCAATTTAATTAACCCCTGAGTAAAGTTTAAACTGACTTGTAATCTTTTTTTAAGTTCTACTTCATATAGTGTCGAACTTGGTGAACTTTGTTTTCTCTCCCTCTCCCTGACCCCAAGCACTGGGAAAAGTGGCTTAATTAAAAAAAAAAAAAAAAAAAAAAAAAAGTATGTATATGTATAAAATAAAAAAAGAATGCTTAAACAAAGATGCATTCCATAGAGGACAGATTTGATAGAAATCTCTCCAAAGTATTATGATTATGTGATTGTGTCAGCAGACACCTCTCTGCGTAGATCATTACTTTTGCTGGGTTTGAATTAATATAAAAGTTATGTAATTAAGATTTTGCTGCTCTTTTTCTCAAATTACTCTTTCATTGTGGTGAAGGTGTCTTACCAATAAAATACATTTAAAAAAAAAAAGGGAACTTAGAGGTGCCATTAAAAGACTAGGTTTTGGCTCCAAGTAATAAATAAATGAATTCTAATCAATTCCAATGAAGGCAACTATTTTAATTCATGTTTGGCAATGTTAAAAGAGGCAAAACTCAAGAAATGAAAATATTGCAGTTGTAGATACTGAGATAAACCAATTTATTTTATTAGTACAAATATTTATGGCATATAACAATGCAAAAGCTATGACTGTTGAGTATATTAAATATATGCAACTGAACTTTTTGACTAGCTAACATACTGTCAATGATATATTCTTCAAAATACAGGAATAAAAACAGAACTATGATTCATCAATGAAAGTAGGTGCAAAACACCTAAATGCTGTGCTGAGTTGGAATCTGGAAGAATAGAGACAGATCACAATTTATTACTTTCCACATTATTTTGCATGTGCATTTTTGTTCTTATTGTATAAGGCAGCTTGCTTTTTTTAAATATTATTGTGCATAGTCTCTACTTTCTTGGGAGTGAATAGTGAACAAAAATAATCCCTTTGAGCTATTCAGGTACTGAATAATTTTATAAATTAATATGCAGGGCGGTGGAGAAGATTATACATGGCCCAAATCATAATCAGGCACATAACCAAGGGAATCAGGCACATTTCTATAATAGAAAGGGCAGGGTTCTACAGAAAGCCTATAGATTGTCTAGTCACCACCAAAACTTTTCTGTATTGAATAAACTTTGCAGATGCTGGCCATTCCTGCTGATCATCAAAAGCAAAAGAAGCCTAGAACAAAATGGAGTGCTATGAATTGAGAGAAAAAGGATCTCTGGTATCAGTGCAGCACAGAAAACAAAATATTGGTTCATTGAAAATTTGTTAACTGTGTGGAAAACAGAAAGATTGGTAGTTTGTCAGCATGTAAATTGGAAAGAATGCTCAAACATAATAGTTCACAAATGGAAGATGTCAGATTGCTTTGTTCTTTTGTCATAACAAGTAAGAATCCTACATTGTTTTTTAATTTTTTTTATTTCTGAAAAAAAGGAAGGATGCATTTATAAAAGCAACTCATAATTATTTGGGAATAACTGAATCAAAAATGAAAGATATATTAAAAAAGGATATTTTTTCTGAAGAAAAAAAGTTATCTGCTAACTTTGATAAAACTCTGATTAGCTAATTAGCTAATGAGCCATGAAGCAAGAAGAACATTTCTTTAGAGAAGGCGATAAATAATTTATACTTTTTTTCCCCTGTGATTGCTAATTACAGATTGCATCTACACGGGTGTTTTTATTGACATTTAAAAAAATATTTTTAATTTATTGGGTGGGGAAGATGAGTATTTGTACCATTTGTTTCGCTATTGGTATTATTTTGAAATAGGCCATGGAATGTGATTTAATTTGGGAAGGGGCCTTGCTCTGCAGCATATTCCTGGTACCTCGCCTTAGCAGTAGCTCGTAGGTGCTGTTGAGGGCATTAAGAGGCTTCAGCCCCTTCCTGAAGAACAGGCTTCGTTTCCGCTCCCCAGGCGGTGCCGGTTACTCCTGCCAGGGCAGTATTGCCGGCGCCCTGGCTCTGCTGCAGAGCTGCCGCAGGACGGGAGCCGGGAGCTAAGGCCCTCCTTGGTCCAGACTGTGTAAAAATCCACCCAGGGGTGTTTTTGGGTGGTAACTTTGGGTGGTTTCCTGGGGCTGTTGGGAGGGGAGCAGTAGGTGAAGAAACGCTGCTGCTTTTGGCATAAAGGTTCTTCACAGTTTTCCATGGAATTTGGTCCAAACCAGCTTGAACAGGATACTGCAGAGAAAACTGCAAGGCTACCATTGAGATTATCACAGTAGTATCAATGCCTAATCTTTTTAGTCATCTTTGGTATTATATAAATTTAAAATAGTGTGTTTATAAATTTAAAATAGTGTATCAGCTAGCTTTAGCTACCCTGGAAGATACTTACTGAAAATGGTTGAACAGAGGAGTAAGCAGTAGGGCTGGGGACCAACCAACAGGAATGAAGAAGCAAGATGGTAAGACGCATATAAGTCTTTAAGCATTAAAATCCAGGCATGTACAAACCACATTTAGCTACTTGGTAAATTTGTGGGAATAGGAAGTATTTGAGATGGATATATCCCACAAAGTTGTAAAGTTAAAATGAATTGACCTCAAATAGTTAAAAAAAAAATGTTCTTTGTAATACTTGTATTTATAAAATGAATGAAGCCATTGCATTTGTGTATCAGCAATTTCTAGGTTTTTGGTTCTTGTTTAGGATTAAAAAAAAAGTATTAGGAATAATTATAGTGATTAGATAAACCATAACCTGATCAGGAAAACCCAGGGTTAAAAAGCATAAATTCTGATTAATTTTCACTCCATAATACTTGCTAGATGTTAATCTTTCAATACAAGTATGTATCTCACTGATCTCAGCTGAAGTGGTAAAGAATTGGCAATTTAGCTTTCTGCAGTACCTAGGAGGAATTGGCTGATGCTAATTCATACGTTATCCGTTCTCATATAAGCTACCTTTCTCCTACTAACAAATACTTGTCCCTCATCTGAGTAGTTCAAGATAGCAGGTCGTGGAGAACA